CCCACTGGTGACCGGCCACCAGCTGGATTTAGTCCCATTTACCACCACTCTTTGGGCCCGGCCATCCAGCCAGTTTTTAACCCAAAGGAGGGTGTGCCTATCCAGGCCAGCAGTTATCAGTTTCTCCACCAGAACACTATGAGAAACTGTATCAAAGGCTTTACTGAGGTCAAGGAAAACTACATCCACAGCCCTTCCCTCCTCAGCCCGGCGGGTCACCCCATCATAGGAGGTGATCAGGTTTGATTGGCAAGACCTGCCTTTCATAAACCCATGTTGACTGGGCCTGATCACCCGGTTAACCTTTATGTGCTCATTAATAGCACTCAAGATAACCTGTTCCATGACTTTGCCCATCACCGAGGTCAGACTGACAGGCCTGTAGGTCCCTGAATCCTCCTTCTGCCCTTTTTTGTAAATGGGGGTAACATCCACCAGCCTCCAGTCCAGCGGAACTTCCCCAGTGAGCCAAGACTGCCCAAAGATAATGGACAGGGATTTGGCAAAGACATCCGCCAGCTCTCTCAGGACTCTCGGGTGGATACCATCAGGCCCCATAGACTTGTGGGTATCCAGCCGATGAAGCAGATCCTTGACCCATTCCTCTTGGATCACAGGAGCTTCTATTTGCTCTCCCTCCCTGAGGGAGGAGAGCAAATCACTTCCTCACACAGTGGAGGGGAAGCAAAACTGAATCAGTGACACCATGGCTGTCAGAGGGCTATGCAATAAAAATCCTGCAGGACAAATTAAGTCTTCAATTTTAAGTTGTATGCATCTATATACAGCATACAGTGGTATTTCATCAGTTTCGTTGCCTTTAATGAGTTTGTCCAAATTTACCTAATTTGAATTTAGCAAGAAATTGTAACAATGGAAGAGGAATAGATTAGAGCTCATTTGGTCTTAGCTATGTTGGTTATTTAAGACCAAGAGCGTAAAACGCAAACTCCTATCCTATGAAATGCTTAATGTGTCTTCATAGCAATACATCTGCTGAGTAAAGATACATTGTTTTTATTCACTCATCAGAGAAAGGGGAAAAAAAAGCGCACTCATCATGTTGCAAACTGCTTTTTTCTGTGATCACTATCATGCTGCTGCTGATCATCATGACCATCCTCAAGGAATTCTCGGTAACAATAAAATCCCCTTATTTAAAAAGCAACACACCTGAATAAAACTGAACTCCCTCCAGTTTAAGGCACTGTTTACTGAAGGGATGGAAGTTACTGCCAGCAAAGAAAGCAATCCAAGACTCATTATTCCAAAGGAGATATACATTTCGATTCGCCACACTTCTTCCTCGTTCCAAGAATTTTCAACATTTGCATGAACCTGATGAAAGAGCAGAAAGGAAGCACTTTATTCTACAGAATATTTAAAATATCAACAGAAGTTATTTTGCTGAGTAAAACTCTACAGTCACAGGATAACTATAAAATGAGGTCAAATACTTCAGAGGTTTCCTCATGTCTTGAAGAAAAACAACTATTTCCTTACTGCTGGTACTGCCTCTTGTTAGATTAAAAATATATTAAACATAGAAACTTACATGACTTGTTAAAAGAAAATGTAATATTACATACTATTTATAACAATTATGTTATAAAAAGAGATAAATCTGTGCATTCCTATATACTGTAGAAAAGCAGTTGTGTTCTTCGGACCCCGAAAACCTACATTATACAACACAAATTGTGTAAACCTGCAATTTGTTTTCAGTTTGTTACATTTAGAAATAGTTTAGCCTCATTTCCTGTTTTTGCTTCAGCTAACTATGCTGAGTTCAAGTTATTTTGCTTCTTTTACTGTTGACATCAGATACATCCAAGATTGTTCCCGTTGGAGAGCTCCACCAGAAAAAAGAAACACCTCAGGTCCTTGACAATTAAGAGGCTTGGATATTCAATTATTTTTCCACTTTCAGGTGAATTATTGTGATGTGGCATGTCTTGAAAGAGGTTCACAAGGAATATTAGCAAGTGAGAGTTTTACAATATTATTAAAACCAAGATAATTTCTTAGTAAAAGTATCAGTGGGTCCTTTACTAAGTGTGAACAATTACAGTTTCTTGCTGCCTTGTATAGTTTTGCTCTTTCTGCCTTTCTCTTAAGTTCAGTTTTTCATGCTAGCCCTTTTAGAATTTGTGGACCCAGTCTCTGTTAATTTGTTCCAATTGATTTGATTTCCTTAGTTTGCTTTTCTTTCTGTTCCATCCCATCTCTCTTTCCTGCAGATTTTGTGTGCTGAATGACAATGCTGCTTTTCTGGTAATGCCGATTTTCCGTTACTTTAAAGGTGACAATAAGCCACCTCACTGACAGACAAGAGCATCAGACCCTCTTCTAAAGGATGAAAAATTTGACGGAGATTGTTTCAGGGTTATGTAAGACCAATTGCTCCCGGCAACTGTGAGTCAATTTCTGTTGCCTGTAAGAGATGATATTCACAGAATTTTTAATGAATATTTTTACCACTGGTCCAAAACGTTACAAAGTAATGGCATTTTCATTTTGCAAACATAGATGTATCTGTAGGCATTATTACAGTATCTACCTTTACATTTTTTTCACACCTGTAAATGCACTTATGATATACATACTTCCCTCATATGTTAAGTACACATACAGAGTAACATACCTCAGAAACTCAGAAGTTTCTTGCTATTGCTCTTATCCTGTCTACCCTACATTCTCCTTGTGTATATTAGTATCAGGGATTTAAGTAGGACACATACTTGATTCCTCCTACCACACAAACTTGACTGCAGCTTGACCCACGAGGTGAGCACAATGCACAGATGTTTCTTTTAATCCCCCTTCTTACTCAGCACTGGCTATACATAAAATAATCCACAACTTTTTCTGCTAAAAACAGTGGAACAGATTAAGCAAATGTGTATATTGCATTCATGAACCATATGCGCACAGCCAAGGCTTTTTTGGCTTCCTGAACTAAAGATTGGCTTACCTGTTGATATGCCATATTGAGGAACAAGTATCGCTCCGATCTCCTCATGGGTAAGCAGAGGCTGTATGCCACATGCACTGTTGCAAAGAAAAAACCGAGCAGACCGAGCTGCTTTCGACACTGAAGCCAGTTGTCCAGCCAAGGAGGAAATCGCCGATACTTAGTACCATAGCAAAGCTGATAAGCAGCTGCAATAAGTCCTGATAAATACACTAGAGAAAGTAAAGTGATAGCAACAATCGGGAGAGTCTTGTTCACAATCTCAATGGGGATCTTGTAAAAGTCACTCTGCTGATTCCTCACGTACGGATGGATTACATCTCTGACGAAGGAGTAGATGAAGAAAAACGTTGCCAGGCTAATGGCAATCACTACAGGCCCCTTCCACAGTGTGAACAGTCGCAGAGGTAAGTTTTCAATCTCCCTTGAAGACGACAACGCACCCAAATCAATAGGAATGAAACCGAGCTCGCGGGCAAGCTCAATAACTTGATGGCGAGCCTGAACATTGTTACTGCATATATAGACCTGTTGGGAAAGTCAAGTGAATTGTCTGGAGTCAGAGAAAGAGAATCAAAGGTAAAAAAAAAAAAAACAAACAAAACCCACAACAAAGACAAAAAAAAACAAAGGCATTCAGGACAAAACCACAGCACTACTGCTAAAACCGTACACTGTTATCCCAGCTTATATCATCAGGACAAGAACAAAACCATATACAAATCCAGCCAAAGTGAAAATATGCACACTGGTTTATTAACAGAGCAACCAAAAGAAAACTGGCTTTTTCTTCGAGTTAATAATAAGCTGATTGTGGGATGCCCTGGTAATTTGCATGCCAAACCCTCATCACAGAAATGTCTACAGGACTGGATTGAACTTGAAACTATGGCTAAAAGCACTTCAGAAAATCACAAGCCTCTCAAAAACATAAGAATCTTGAACAATGACTCTAAACCAGCTGTAGCATAAACAGAATGCAAAGCAGAGAATCCCCGTGTACCTCTCCATATATAACAATTTTAGCTTAATTTCACAATCCGGACTTCCACAAAAATTGAATGTTTAACAGAAAAGAAAGACTAGCATCCAAACAATAACTCCTTCCTAATACGTTTGTTACATAGTGAAAGAAATGCACTGCTACAAAGTACTTTAAAGTTCTTTTTAAATTTACAGTGACCTATAGTTCGCCCAACGCTGTTTGCTGATCATCTGCATTAGAGTAAATATGATTGGTTTTGACAGAAGTTAATTACTTACAGTGCGGTGCTATTCTGAATGGGGATAAAAATAGTACGGTGAGATTATTTTTTAAACTGTGCTAACTCTATATGAATTGCATTCAACTTAAAATCTACTTGAAGTGTCAGAAAACTCAATTTAGTCTCCAGTAGTCACATTACACCAGTCATTTCTCATGCGTTTCTCAAGAGTCCAGAAAACTGTGACAGACTGCATTCTTGCATAGGCTTAAATCCTTTACATCACTTCAGCAAAGCAGGAAAAACATAAAGCTGCCTTTTCTATATGCAGGATGGATTTGGGAAACATACTGGGAAGGAATTTGAACATGATGTTCCCAAGCAGTCCTAGATCAAACGAATGATCACTTAGAAACATATGTGCCTCCTTCTGTTTCCTCACATTTATGATCTCGGGGTATTCTAAAAGCGAGATAATTTCTTTCATTCTTTTCATTCTTCGCTGTTACATTGAATGAAAGCATTTTTAGGCAGCTGACTCTTGAGCCTTGGGATCAGGACCTGTGATCAGCACCTCTTTCAATAATTCACCCCACGTAAAACAATACTGAAACTAAAATATACTGGGAAATACTGCCTCTGTCCTTGTATAAGGCATAAAGATAAAAATTAACATTATTTCCTAAGAAAAGAGACATTAAGACTCAACTCCTCTCCTCTGTCTGTAGTCATCTAAAGGTCAGCTGTCTAGTCTAAGCTAGCATCCACTTTTCCTCTGCAATCTTTCAAGATAAACACGCATCCCTGGGGACAATTTGGACCACTTACTCTCTATGTTGTACAGTGGATGAACTAGACTCTTACTAGTTTTATTGGCTACTAAAGCTTTAGTTAAAGGCCCAACATTTTTAGGTACATCAAGTCAGGCAGGATGAATCCCATGAGTTCTGGCTGCTTACATTCAGTTCCTGTCATTTTTGTCTTACAAACACGTTAAATTAATACAAATATAATATTTACCTGTCTGCTGGCATCCTTTGGTCCTAACTGCAGTGACCAAGCTGAAATGACATTGAATCCTTTGACAATCAGAGAATCTGGGAAAAGCGATGCCAAATACTCTGCATTGGAGTCTGGATATTGGTCTACTCTTGTATTATTGCTGACATCAATGAGAATTTTACCAGCGAGTAAATGCTTGAGGTCCCACAACGAGGAATAATGTTCTCTGTGTATAGCTACAAAAATGATGTTTGTTTTTGCTACTGCATCTTCATGGTGAGTGACATCAACTACATGGGGAAAAAACTCGGCAGCAAGTTTAGGATTTCTGCTTCCTACGACCACATGGTAGCCACATCTGATAAGCCTAATTGTCAATGACTTAGCAAAGTCTCCACTTCCAATGATGCCTATTGTGACCTTACTGGCATCCTTGATGCCATTGGCAACGTTTGGTAGAAAAGTTTCATTGAGGTTCTTAGGACTTCCCATCATAGAGATTGATTCCATACTTCCAAGGCACCAAACCTATAATGATTTCTTCTGGGAAAAAAAAAGGAGAAAGCAATAAAAGGAAAAATGCAGCACCCCACAGTTTTACAAGACATCAGAATCCATAAACATCTCTGGGATTAAAATAGTGGTTCTAGGTTTCATGCTATATTTTGTCCTTAATAAAGTATGTGCTAATCAATTTTGTCCTGCAATGTGTCACCAATCATAGAATACAAGAAGAAACATAAAATAATTCAAGCACTTCAATAATACAATCACAGAAGTAAATTATATTTTTTTCCATCTCCTCCTATTCCTTATCTTCCACTGCTCAGGAATATTAGACCACAAGATAACTCTGTGCTCCTGAAACTAATGGTCAATGGAATAATGAGAATAAACATGTAAGGAAAACTGGGTAATTATGGAAAATTTTATAAGGTAGAGGTGGCTCACCTGTGCACAAGGACAGTAAGTTCATGGAAGCTGAATTCCATTAAAAGAGACAAACACATGGGACAGCTTTCCATGAAATGCTACTGGCAGGAACAGATAGATTTCATGCAATAATAAAACAGAAGAGAGTTTTAGGACTCAAATTCACTGCTGCGAGGGAGGCTTTGAAGAACAGAGGCTAAGGCTTACAGAAAATTAAAAGAAATATTGCTACAGCTTTGAAGAGGTCACAGAACCGCAGTAACGCTGTAACAACGACAAAAGGACATTAAAAAAAAACAACAAAACAACCCAGGAGAGAAGTCTTCACATGAAACCACAGTTACCACATAAGTGGTTCTGCACTGTAGAACAGGAATGAGTTCTGAAAATGAAGACGGAAAGGCAGGCTAAGAAGCAGCAAAGAGAAACCATGAGGTTGCTATCTTGGGAGCAATCAACAACAGACCACACAGAAAGGAGGACCTGAATGAACCTCTTCCTGAGCCACCATCCAAGAGCTGATGGGATGATAACTGATCACCAGCAGGGGATTTTACCCAGCCATTGACTAGGAATACAGTTTGTGTGAACAGCTTCCAACAATTAAAGTTAACTTTGTGTTTCAGAAATTAAAGGAAGCTACTAGAAGAATGGGCCTTTTTCATTTCAGCTTTGACTAGAAGGGAAGAACTCACTGAAACTGGACTGAGACTCCAAAGACAGAAAGCAAGATGTGAAAGTGACCACAAAATCAGTATTCTAAGAAAAGATTCTAAAAATGAATCTTTCTTGCAGAGAAAAACCATGCAGATTTTTATGTATGCACTGAAAAAACATTGACTTATTTCTTACCAATTTCTTACCACATGACCTGCAATGTATCTAACACACGACCGAAATACCAGTATTTCTTGTACCATGATGAGTTCGCACCCAGGAACATAACAAGAATAGCTGTATTTTGATCAGATAAGAGATATACATCAATGGGTATGTCAGAACACGTATGTTTTCACAATGTGATTACAGAGGTCCATTTCAGTTCATGCCATGTGATATAAAGGTGCTGCAGAACTTTGGGATAGAAAGGGAACTGCCACGATGAAACGGGCTACCAGAACCATTTAACCATACCGCAGCCTACTTTCAGTTTTTGTCCAAAAGATCCTTAGGAGAGTGGGCATCAGGGATTTGGACATGATGAATTGCTCCGGTGAGTTGAATTTGGCCCACTGGCCAAATTTTCTCACTGCCTGTTCTAAGGAAAGTAGAGTGTGAGGAACAGAATAAAACTACCGGATTTCATAAAAAACCCTCAGGGAACAGGCAGACATGATTCTTGGGCAAATAATCCAAGAGATCAAAGAGATCAGAGAGCTGGCAGTTACTGAAAGGGACTATATTAAATACGCAACAGTAATTCAGAGGAAAGAGAGTGTATAAGACTGTTTTAACTGCATCAGGAGAGCTTTAATGACCTGAAAAAAAAAAAAAACATAAAAAGTTAAAAAAAAAAAGAGAGGGTGCATGCATGGCTAAGGAACAGTATAAAAAGACAGTGCTATCATGCAGGGACAAAACCACCGCAACAACAGTACAGAAATGAGCTATAACTAGTGAAGGCCATAAAGGGTAACAAGTAAAGGTTCCATAAATACAGTAAAGGACAGAAGGCAAGGTTTATAACTTAAGAGGAAAAGGAACAAATTATAGGTACCACAAAGTAGGATAAAGTGTTAAATATCTTATTTCAGCCCTCAGCAGAAAGGTTAATTGTGAATAGATATTCAATAAAATTCCTTTTACAAGGAGACAGAAGGTGAGGTCAAAGTGGAAAACGGTAAGTTAAAAGTAAAGGATAAAGTTAAAGGTAAGATAAAGATTTTCAAGTCAGCAGACACTTAGGAAATCTACCCTTGATGCTTAAAATGCTGTCGAAGTGACATCTTGAGAACTCAAAAGAGGACAAGAGAGGTAGACTAGCATGTACTTCTAGAAGAGGGGAGGAGGAGGACTGAGGAAAGCAAAGACTTGTTAGCCTAACTTCAGCCTCTGGACAGATTTTACAAGTTACTGAGCAATCAGTGTGTAAATAGATGGGAAGCAGATGATAAGAAGTAGCCAAGGTGGGTTATTCAGGAAGACGCTGCAAAAAAAACAACCTTTTTTTACAAAATACCTGGCTTCACAGATATAAAAAAAAAAAACAGTAGAAACAACATAAATTTGACACTTGCCCTTAGATAAGCTAAGAAAACACTACAAAGCTATGTCAGCCAGAAGGTGACACGGACGTGAAAAACTGCTCTTGGCAGAATAACTACTGGAGGAGAAACACAGCAAACAGACAGAAAGCCGGGCAGTCACTGTATGTGTGACCACCGGCTCGGGCGGGAACTTACGGGCTGAGGGCTGAGGCGAGGGGCTGGCCGGGCGCCGGGCGCAGGCCGGTGCCCGCTGGGGAGGGCAGCAGGCGGCAGCGCGGTGCGGGTATCTGCCCCACGGGAGCTCGGCGGGGCCCGGGTCCGGGCCGGCATGTCCAGCTGCAACAACAGTACCGCCCGTGA